CACACACACATAGACAGACACACACGTCATTACACACGTGCAGACACAAACACATATCATTACACACACACACACACACACACACACACAATTACTGACATAGACACATCATTGCACACACACATAGACAGACACACACGTCATTACACACGTGCAGACACAAACACATATCATTACACACACACACACACAAACACACACACACAATTACTGACATAGACACATCATTGCACACACACATAGACAGACACACAAGTCATTACACACGTGCAGACACAAACACATCATTACATACACACACACACACACACACACACACACACACACTTTTTCTCTCAGTGCTTTACAGACTGTTCTGCCGTTTTATAACTGATGTACCATTGCGCTGAGACGCTCTCTAAATGAGCTTTTATATAGCCGAACAAACAAATAATACTGTTAATAGAGTGTCATGCGTGTTACGAACACTTCTCTCCTATGCTGAACATGTGCTTGAGTGTTTCTCTGCTGTACTGACTGTGAATAACAGGACACGAGCCGAAGTAGCGCATGAACAGACTGACGTCGAGCGCAGCGCTGGACAGCACCAGTCGGAGATTGGGCATCTTCTGCAGGACTTCCTTCATCTTGGTGAGCAGGAAATCCGTCAGTCCGTCACGTTCGTGCACCTCATCCTGCAGTGCAAACACACACACACACACACACACACACACACACACACACACACACACACCAAAAACACAGCAGCCTTGATTAAATATCAACTGTAATCCAATATCTATTTAAAGTAATCTGACTACTTTTGGATTACATTTGGATTACTTTTGTGCTAACCCTTATTTAAGGTCACTTTATTAGGTACACCTGTCCAACTGCTTGTTAACGCAAATGTCTAATCAGCCAATCACATGGCAGCAGCTCACTGCATTTAGGCATGTAAACGTGGTCAAGACAATCTGCTGCAGTTCAAAGTGAGCATCAGAATGGGGAAGAAAGGGGATTTAAGAGACTTTGAACGTGGCATGGTTGTTGCTGCCAGACGGGCTGCTCTGAGTATTTCAGAAACTGCTGATCTACTGGGATCTTCATGCACAACCATCTCTAGGGTTTACAGAGAATGCTCCGACAAAGAGGAAATATCCAGTGAGCGGCAGTTCTGTGGGCGCAAATGCCTTGTTGATGAGGCCAGAGGTCAGAGGAGAATGGCCAGACTGGTTCCAGCTGACAGAAAGGCAACAGTAACTCAAATAAGCACTCGTTACAACCCATGGGTATATACACTAGATACCACATACGCGCCCTGAGCATGCGTCAATAGCGCCGCCACATTTGTACAGTGCTCTCAGGACAAACGTGATTCAACCGCACTAGTCAAGAGTCAATGTGAAGATGCTGGACTGCTGGAGTGTAGCAACATGCAAACAAAGAAATCAAAGGCAGAACATTTGTGGTGGGAATTCATTTTATATTCACTTGATATACATTATAAAGGTCTGTTCTTTAATTCTTCCATGAATGTACTGTTTAAGTTAGACCAAACGTGACCACTTTACCATCTGTTTATCACCAGGCAAGATCTGGATAAGTACATGGTGATTTAACAAACTACATGTTCTGATGGGAGGTAAGACTGAAATGTAGATGGTCAGAAATGAAGTTTAAGCACTGATGTAACTGTGATTCAGCCTGTATGTCACTGATGAGCTTGTGGGTATTACAAACTAGATAAAATGAAGGCGTCTCACTCTCTGCAGAAACTGTCGTTGATGTATGATCGTGTGACCTTCTTTGCAAAGAATAAAACTTTAAAAGACACTTTGGGAAAGAATTTGGCTGCGTCCGAAACCGCCTACTACTCAGTAGGTACTGCATTTGAATGTAAACGTGCTACTCGGCCGTTAGAAAAGTGCGTTGTATACAGTATGAATGTGAAAAGTATGAATGGAATTCTGACGTACTACATCTGCCATTTTGTCATGCCCTGCAGAAAAATCCAGCTTAAACCAGCCTAGGCTGGTTGGCTGGTTTTAGCTGGTCGACCAGGCTGGTTTTAGAGGGGTTTTGGCCATTTCCAGCTTGGTCTTAGCTGGTCAGGCTGGAAACTGACCAGCTAAATCCAGCTAAAACCAGCTTGACCAGCCTGGTTTAGGCTGGTTTATAGCTGGCTAGGCTGGTCAAGCTGGTTTTAGGTGGTCATCTCCCAGCCTGACCAGCTAAGACCATGCTGGAAATGGTCAAAACCTCTCTAAAACCAGCCTGGTCAACCAGCTAAAACCAGCCAACCAGCCTAGGCTGGTTTAAGCTGTTTTTTTCAGTAGGGTGGTCATGTGACCTACCTGCGTCAGTTGCGTCGCCTCACGTCCATTCATGAATTCTCTCACAGGGCATTATGGGATAGCGCAGCATGCATGGGATGCGCACTTCAGAATCTCGCCGGAAGTAGTAAGTCATCCGGGTACTTCTCGCCTACTGATTTTCGAATTCTATGAATTCAGACATACTACTCGGCTCGCATACTGATTTTAGCGTACTATATAGTATGGAAGTATGTGGTTTCGGACGCAGCCCTTGTCTTCTTGACCACTGAGAGAGCCTCCTTAAAGAAAATCACCACTACATGAACTTTTGTGCTAAACCAGGGGAGCCAACCCTGCACCTTCCTGCAGATTTCAGTTGCTACCCATATCAAACACACCTGAAACAATTCATTAGGACCTGAACACCACGTGATAATTACAGGCAGGTGTGTTTGATATGGGTTGCAACTGAAATCTAAAGGAACATGGTTGGCCACCCTTGTGCTAAACAAATATTGATGATAATACAGTCTCTAAGGCCCCGTTTGCACTAATGTGTTTTAGTTTGGAAACACATAAGTTTGGCTACGGTTACGCCATCCGTTCACACTACGCCGGAGTTTTAGAGCGCTGAAAACGGAGCGTTTTGTAAACACTGGAGAGGCTGTTTTCATTCTGAAGCGCTGCTGCTGCGTCTCAGTGTGGATGAGGGAAAACGGAGACATCTGGAAACGGAGGCGGCGCTGCTGAGATTCGCTAGCTGATTGGGGCTTTTGTGTCATTGCGTATCCTTCCCTTATTGGTCAAGCCCCTATCACATGACTATAACACATGACTTTAACACTACCGGGAGACAGCAGACCAGCCTTCACTGTAAACAACAACATGACACAGAAATGAGAGCGCTGTTTGCACTGTTGTCTGTTTTAGGCGGCATTGTGCAGTTATTCATTTGTTACGTTTAGTAACTCGACCTCGTCGTCTGTCCACAAAAACACCTCTCTTGCTTTCTTTGCCTTCGCGTTCATTGTTCAACCGGCATTTGTTGACTAACAATAACCAAACGCCAAGCGAGACACATGCTTCCTGTTTATACTAGAACACTCATGCCCAGAGTGCGCCAATGGTCATGTGATACACGCTTTTGGTGGCGTAGTGTGGACGGAGATATGTTCTGAAACGCTAGGTGAAACGCTAGTGTGGACGTGGATCGTTTTTGATCTAAAACAACGTCTTAAAACTAAACGCACTAGTGTAAACGGGGCCTTAGGCAAAGTAGCACCAACTCACACTAAACACTCGGCTTATGCTAGATTTGTTGAATAAAATCAACAAACAATATAAATGAAATATGACAACAAGATGCTGCGCTGCAGGAAACTTGTATTATTGTAAGATAAGTGAAGTAGCGGCAAGTTTTTAAAGCAAATTAAAGCTGCAGTATGTGATTTTCTTCAGAAACGTGCTGTTGTGCTGGTTGAAAGTCTCCTCACAGTCCAATAGTGCTGATTACAGTAAATGATCTAAATGTGTTTATACTGTGTGTGTTTTTATATTCTGGGTGAGGCATAAAACTAAAAAATGTTCATCCAATTAAATATTGTCAGGCCGACATCTCCCATAATTCCGATAAGCAGCTCAGACTGTCTGTCAGCAAGTGTAGATTTGGACTTCTGCGCACCTCTGTTCACACAGATCCACCATGTGCACACGGGACAGTCACATTTGCGGTAAAATCAAATGCTGAATTGAAACCATAGACTGTAAAATATATGGACGTAGTATCCATGACGTCACCAAAAGAAGCAACAAGTAGGCGCGGCCAACCGTCGCCATTATGTTCGCGCGTCATCACACCCACGGCGGGATACCAAACATGGGCAAAGAGGCGGAGAGTGAGCGGAGCTACAGACACCTGCTGGCATTCAGCTTGGACCTGGTTCAGACACCTGGTTTACTTTGGGAGAACGCTTAATACTTTATCACCTGTGACTCGTTTGTATTCTGACCACTTGTGCTTGGTTGTACACTATATCAATAAAGTGTTTAGACTTTTAAAAACACTGCTGTAATACATTGAGCCACTAAACATTGTTCTTATGACGTTTCTCAACAGGAGGAAAACGCGAATTACTTAAACACTTCAGATATAGTCTGTGTTAGTTAATGCAAGACTATTGATGAAATCCAGCATAACACTGTATGACAACGCTTCAGATGACTGATCTAGAGCCTACAGGTAATCAATCTGACAGATTCTGCAGTGCATTACAGCTCTAAATATAAACCATAAATGATCCTAAATAAAACAAATACATGTATAGAGATGGTATGAGTATATAACTGTACTCACATGGGAAACGGAGGCCACGTGAATGGTTTGTGAGCACAATTAAGTGCACTCAGCATGCCATGCCATCAAATAATTGTAGGAAACAAGTCCAAAAGGCAGTTGACTGTGTAAAGCCACATAAAACAACACAGAAATACGATAAATATGCCGAGTTCAGTGGCTAATCTGCAGGATTCAGCTGAGGTGAAGTGACGGCGACCAACGAGACCTAGCTGTCACTCAAGTGGCCACGCCCTTAATTATGCAAACTTAATATAAAGGAAACGGATGAGTTATAAAAAAATTCACCCCCTCACAGTTGTCATGAAGGGTAATATTAGCTGTATTAACCAAAATCTTTTTTTGTAGCAGGCTGTAAACACCTTTTTTCTGCTGTAAAGTTGGCCATTCTAACAGTGGGCTCAATTGAAATTTGCTCTGTTTTGGAGCCAGGAGCGGCCAGGACTAGCGGAATTTCAGATGAATTGCAGTTTTAGTTACTTCCGTATTCCGTATCATAGATATATGTGTATATGTGTGTATATCTCTGGCTCAGGATGGCCAGTTCTCCACTGCACATTGCTCCCACATTCATTTCAAAGGAGCGCTACCCTGTACTAAGATGGAGGCTCTATTGACGCATTCCTTCCAATAGACAACAACAGCGTAGGCGACATCTAATGTAAATATCTATGGCTACAACCGAGATATGCAGATGAGCATCTCTACAGTTTCTGCTCACCACAATGACGTGCGTGACGGTGGACAGGGCTTCGTCTCCGGCCATTAGCGTCCGCAGCAGGACTCCACTGGTGCAGAACGTCAGCAGAGTTTTAGGAGAAACTCTGGAGAAACACACACACACAGTGTAAACTTTAATTAAAGTAGATGCCCCAAATCTAAAGCAGATGATGTGTGTGAGTGTGTGTGTGTGTGTATTTATGTATATGTCTGTATGTGTATACGTCTGTATGTGTGTGTGTGTGTGTGTGTGTGTGTGTGTGTGTGTGTGTGTGTGTGTATGTGTATGTGTATGTAAATGAGCACCTGCTCTCCAGGCGTATCTGGTAGCCGACGGTCTGCCCGATGTTCTCTCCTCTCTCCGCTGCCACGCGCTCCGCTACAGCAATGGTGGCCAGTCTGCGCGGCTGTGTGCAGAAGATGCGGCAGGGGCTCGCGGTGGCGCTGCAGTCGTCCAGCAGGAACTGAGGGATCTACACACACACGCACATACACAAAACACAGACAATGCATACACACACAGAAAGAAACACAGACACACAGTTAATGATATACAAGTTAAATAATGTTTAGCACAACTTTGGATTTTAATGATGCATTAGTTATTACTATACTTTACATGAACTAACCCTTAACTAATGGACCATTATTATATGATTATTATATTTATTTATTATTAATGATTAAATATTTAAAATTATAAATGATTATTCATTCATAATTAAAATGATTTATTACTTACAACATTTATATTTAAATTTACAATGTATATAATTTATATAAGATAAGTGTATATATAATAACACTATAATAATAATAATTATTATTATTATTTAGGATATGCTACATTAAAATAATTTAACTTTGGACTGCTAATGTATAAATAATATAAAAACGTCTGCACATATTTGTTGCCAAAATATTTTTAAAAATAAGAGACAAAACAAAAAAAATCTGTTATAAAGGTTTATTTTGGTTTACCTGCGAGTCACGTGACTAACACTAACCAATTTCTGATTCAATGTGATGCAAATTAAAAAAAACATTAAATAGACACTATTTTCATTTCTTCATTTATTTTCTTGTCGGCTTAGTCCCTTTATTAATCTGGGGTCGCCACAGCGGAATGAACCGCCAACTTATCCAGCACATGTTTTACGCAGCAGATGCCCTTCCAGCCGCAACCCATACCCGGGAAACACACTCATACACTACAGACAATTTAGCCTACCCAATTCACCTGTACCGCACGTCTTTGGACTGTGGAGGAAACCGAAGCACCAGGAAGAAAGCCATGCGAATGCAAGAAGAACATGCAAACTCCACACAGAAACACCAACTGAGCCAGCTGAGGCTCGAACCAGCAACCTTCTTGCTGTGAGGCGACATTACTACCTACTGTGCCACCACTATTTCCATTTTATGCAGGATATTATTTCATGTACAGGTTTATTTTATATATAAAAAGACACGGTATTGTCAGGCGCCTAGACTGCAGCTCTGCACTAGACGGCCAGCGGAAAAATGGAAATAGTCGTGCCCAACCGAGCCTGGTTTCTCTCCAGGTTTTTAAATTCTTCACTTTAGCCAATTGGTGAAGTTTGTTCCTCGCCGCTGTCGCCTCTAGCTTGCACGGTTCGGGATCTGTAGCGCTGCGCATGGATGGATTTGCTCTTCAGTGTTTGGACTCTCAGTAATGACCATTAAACCACACTGAACTGAGCTAAACTGAACTGAACTTAAACTCTGAAAACTGAACTGCACTGTTTACATTCACTATGATCTTCTATGTGAAGCTGCTTTGACACAATATAAATTGTAAAAGCGCTGTACAAATAAAGGTGAACTGAATTGTAATAAAAACACATGAGTCAGTGTTGACCTGTGTGGTTTTCCCGGAGCCGGTCTCCCCCAGCACCAGCACCACCTGGTGGTCTCTGATGGACTGGATGATCTGCTCCTGGAGCTCGTAGACCGGCAGAGCTTTCCGGAAAGCGTCCAGCTCAGGGGCGCTGCTGCGTCTTGGTGGAACCTGAGGAATCCCGTGGCTCAGGCGCCCACTGGTCCTGCTTTTACTGTCTGTAGCATCAAATATCACAATCAAGAAGACAATTCTGTGAGAGATCACATGTTCATCATCACACACTGCAGAAGTCACAATTATTAGAATTTTGTTTTCTATTTCAAATGATGTTGAACAGATTCAGGAATTTTTCCCAGTATTTTGTCTAATATTTGTTCTTCTGGAGAAAGTCTTATTTGTTTTATTTCGGCTAGAATAAAATCAGTTTTTAATAGTTTTAAACCCATTTTAAGGTCAATATTATTTTGCAATATTTGTGTTGGATTGTCTCCAGAACAAACCAGTAGTACAATGACTTGCCTAATTACGCTAACTTTACCCTAATTACCCTAGTGAAGCCTTTAAATGTCACTTTAAGCTGAAGAAAAAAATTATAAAGAGAAATTGGGATATATATATATATATATATATATATATATATATATATATATATATATATATATATATGTATGTATATATATATATTAGTGCTGTCAAAATTAGTGTGTTAACGTATGCGATTAATTTGAAATATTAAACGCGTTAAAAAAAATGTATGCAATTAATGCAGCTGCAGTTATTTTGTATTTCCTGTTGTGGTTGACGTGTGTTCAACATGCAAAGAAATATGGATAAGACCAAGAAAGCACTTTTAGAAAGAAAGTTTCAGTATAAAATAATTAATGTCGCATCACCAGGCTCTCCAGCGTTTCCTCCAGAGTTTCATTTAATTTCGTATGTTTCATTTTTAATCTTTTGATTTTTGTTTTAATGGAGTTTGATACTGCATAGTGAATGGAAATAAAAGCATCTCCATTTCGTGACTCGGGTGGTCCTTTAAGGTAATCAAAAATCGCTGTTTACATGGTCGACTCTTAAAAAGAGTATCATCTTAATCATATTAAAATCGGAGTATTGGTGTCCATGTAGATGTACTCACTGAAAGTGTCAGATGAAGTCGTGAGCTGTCAAAGAGCTGCCTTTCAGCATGCGCCCCCCATGTTTCATTAAGTTTGACGTGTTTCCCCCTTAAACGCAACTTTGGTAAAGCATCTGCTTCATGTTGTTGTGTCAGAATCCCTGTGAAACACAGCCGTACTTTAGAACGCTTAGTTTAAGCAAATTTGATGAACGCGATCATGCGTGTTGAATCTGAAGGGAGTCGCTCCGGCTGCCCTATCCTGCACGCGTATGTCGTTTACATGAAGAAATCTGTGTTACAAGTTTAACAAAAATTCTAATAAACAATTATATTTTGAATTTAAATAGTTTTTTGTTTTGCGTCTACATTAATTTCACATTTGAATAGCCAAAATGACAAGTTTCAGTCTTTTAAATGTGATTAATCGCGATTAATTTTCGAAAAAAAGTGTGATTAATTAGTTAATTTTTTTAATCGTTTGACAGCACTAATATATATATATATATGTTTAAATCTGTGTATAAATATATGTTTAAATTAAAATTAGGTCTGCACGATATGTTGTTTTAGCATCAATATCACAATTTGATCATTTGTAAAAGTCACGTCGACATGCAATGTTGAGTTTATATAATATTACTATTATCATTTGCATGTGTTTTTGAGGCATGTGACTGTATAATGATGATAAGAAAAAGAAAATAAGAATATATACGAATAAGAATATTAAGAAATTGTACTGTTTGCAACTTTAATTACGATTAATTTTATTTATTATATATATTTTTTTATTATACACTTACCTGAATACTGTAAAAAACAATTAAACACTGTTTATTTTAATTGTGTTTTTTATTGTATGGATATATGCTTGTAGATGGTTTCTTATATCTTATTAAGATGCACTTATTAATAAAATCATCCAAATCAATCTAAAATTATTAATTCTTTTCAAATAGAGATATTAAAGTCATCTGCTGAAATTGTACTTATACCGCAATATATATGGCAGCATAACAAAATATTGTAATGTGAGATGTTTCCAATATTGTGCAACCCCTAAATGAAATATTATCAGAAATTGGTTACTTGTCACATGACATGAAGATAAACAAAATAAAAAAAAAAGAATATAAATCACATAATTCATTTAGCCTTTTATGTTATTTTATTTACATATTTTAGCCATAAAACTCTCATTATGTGCAAGGATTTATATATTAGCATTATTCTCCACTGTGCACTGACCCGTGGTGTCAGGCGGGGACTGCAGGCCTCTCTCTGCATGCGGCTGCAGCTGGCTGCGCTCACGGCTGCTGATGGGGAATCTCTGCATCAGACTCTGCACCAGCGCTCTGCAGCTCGGAGAGAGAGAGCAGCTCATGCTGGAACGCTGTGCCTCCATCCCGTCCTTCTTCCTCACCGTCAGGAACCGGCTGCAGCCCTTTCTGGAACAACACACAAGCACAGCCGGAGATGCGGATTACTGGTAAATTTATTAGTTGAAGTCAGGATTATTAGTTGTGCTGAATTATTAGCCCCCTTGCACATTTTCTCCCCTATATCTATTTATTGGAACGAATATTTTATCAGGCCATTTCTAAACATGGGCGTCACGGTGGCACAGTGGGGAGCACAATCGCCTCACAGCAAGAAGGTCGCTGGTTCGAGCCCCGGCTGGGTCAGTTAGTATTTCTGTGTGGAGTTTGCATGTTCTCCTCATGTTGGCGTAGGTTTCTTTTGTCTTTGCCATGATGACAGCACATATTAGACTAGATATTCTTCAAGACACTAGTGTTCAGCTTAAAGTGACATGTAAAGGCTTCACTAGGGTAATCAGGGTAAAGTTAGGGTAATTAGGCAAGTCGGTGTATAACAGTGGTTTGTTCTGTAGACTATCCAAAACTAATATTGCTGAAGGGGCGAATAATATTGACCTTAAAATGGCTTTAAAACTGTTAAAAACTGCTTTTATTCTAGGTGAAACAAAAAATTTAAGAGGAAATACCGTGGAAAAATTCCTGAATCTGTTAAACATCATTTGGGAAATATTAGAGAAAAAAATTCACATGAGCGTGTATAATGTTGACTTCAACTGTATGTGCTGATGAGGTCACATGACAAAATCAGCAGTCCGTAATTGAATCTGTTAGATTACACATTTATGGTAACACAATCTGACTACTTCTGGATTACTTCTGGTTACAACGTGTAGCGCCACCTAGGTGTATTAAGTTTAAGATAGCGCTCAAGGTTCAATACACTAAACGCCTACAGATATGTTGAAGTAGGCCCCTCTGATATATTTCAATGACGTAATGTAAATAAGGCAGATGAGAATATAAATATTTTCTGTGTTTGAATAAATTACCAGAAATAAACTCTGGGAATAATAAAACTCTTAGATAAATCAGAAAATATAAATAATTTAATTAGAATAGAAATGTAAATATTGGGAAAAACCCCAGATGTAAAACAAAACACAAAATATAGTATTTATGCACAGCTAAAAGACAGTAAAATGACCCAAAGTCAAACCCAGCAATTTACAGTACAATGAAGAATATTAATTAAACCAATATAGAAAAATACCACCTTTCTACACTCTAACAATTAAACTTATAAATCAACAAGTGACTAAGAGTGACTGAATATGTTTCTCTTTGAAAGTGGCTACAATTGTGTCACTAAATTACACACTGAATTACACCTATATAAACTATTAGTATAAATCTATGCTGTAAAACACGCAGCAGTAATTTATGCTCACTGCATCTCCATAAACAACTCAAAACTCTGTGGGCCCACACACTCACACATTCATAACCCCATGTATTTCAGTGAAGGTTGATCAAACTTGCTATCTTATCATATTCTCAGAGATAGACGCTCATATATTACACATCAACATTAGGATGTATATATACACAAATGAATGCAAAACACATTTTAGATTTAATTCTGTTCTAGAACCAATATGAATAAATAAATAAATAAATAAATAGATAGACAATAAATAAATAAATAACCTTAAGATTACTTTAAAACTTAACTTGTAGAACTTCAATCTACTGGGTTACAAACGTAACAAGTTACTATAAATAAATTACTTATTCAATGTATTAATGCTCATTTCTTGTAATCAATCTTGTGTTTGCGTGCACTTATGCACTTGCCTGTAAATAAATGTAACATTTTCAATAAATAATTTCAGAGAAGCAGAGTAGCTGTATTTTTGTATTACAAAAACATTTAGCAGAATAATTATATATTTTAACTAAAGACGATCACCTTTATCAAGACAATCGCACAGACTCATGAAAAAAATGAAAAAAACAGGTTCATCATGACAACTATGGTATAAATTCATAACATTATGAACATTATGCTTCTTTTTTATTTGCTTGTTTTCTACCTGTCCATCCATCCATCCATCCATCCATCTAGCTATCTATCTAGCTATCTATCCACCCATCCATCCGTCTATCTATCCATCCATCCATCCATTCTTCCGTCCGTCCTTTTATCAATCCATCCATCCATCCATCCATCCGTCCGTCCGTCCATCCATCTATCCATTAATCCATCCGTCTGTCTTTCTAGTCATCCATCCACCCATCTAATGATCAATCCATCCATTCGTATATCTATCCGTCCAACCATCCATGCATCCGCTTATCTATCTATCAATCCATCTGCCTATCTCTCTATCTATCCATCTGTCCATCCATCCGTCTGTCCTTTCATCCATCCATCTGTCTGTCTGACTATCCATCTATCTATTTATCTATCCGTCTGTCCGTTCGTCCAGCCATCCATCCATCCACCCATCTACCTGTCAATCCATCCATCCCTCCGTCCATTCATCTGTCCAACCATCTATCTATCTATCTATCTATCTATCTATCTATCTATCTATCTATCTATCTATCTATCTATCTATCTATCTATCTATCTATCTATCTATCTATCTATCTATCTGTCTGTCTGTCTATCTATGTCTGTCTGTCTGTCTGTCTGTCTATCTATCTATCCATCCTTCTGTCTGTCTGTCCATCTATCCGTCCAACCATCCATCCATCCATCCGTTCATCAATCTATCAATCCATCAATCCATCTGCCTATCTGTCTATCCATCTGTCCATCCATCCGTTTATCCATCCGTCCGTCCGTCCTTTCATCTATCCATCTGTCTGTCCATCTATCTGTCTGTCTGTCTGACTATCCATCTATTCTTTTATCCATCCATCCGTCCGTCCATCCATCCATTCACCCATCTACCTATCAGTCCATCCCTCCGTCCATCTCTCCATCCATCCATCCATCCATCCATCCCCCCCCTCTCTCTCTCTCTCTCTCTCTCTCTCTCTCCCTCTCTCTCTATATATATATATATATATATATATATAGACAGGGCTTGACATTAACAGCCCCAACCCATCAAATGCGGGTAGATGTCAGATGTGACACGAATTTAAAATTAACTGTGACGCGACACTACAAAACAGCCACAAATTTAAAAAATTACAAGGGTAGAAATAAACTTTGCAGGACAGCGGGTCAGGACATTAGAAATGGTGTTAAGGTTTTGTAAATAGTGTAATATTATTTGTTTCATGCACCCTGGCCACTAGGGGGTGCCCTGATGCATAAACCCCACAGATAGATTACTGAAATAAGAAATCAGCTATCACTGCAGCATAGGATAAAGATGACAGAAATTAACAAATGAAGCAAACATGAACACAGACAACCACTGTGGCAATAACTGGATTATTTCTGTTTATCAAGCATAAGATATATTCATAATACAATGCCAACTGACCTAGCCTTTATCACTGTAATAAAAACTATCAAAAGTAGGATTTGTTCGTCATTCTGAGATATGAAACCACCTCTGATTACAAAAGGAGCTATTGCAAACACCCGGCTGATGTTATGAAGTGAACGTAAAGCAGAATCTTTCTGAACAGGCTCATAAAGGCATAACTGTGTTGCACACGTGCTTCAGTAATGATTAACTGCAGTCTAAGTGAAGTCTAGTTTTCATTGTGGACAGAATGTTTAACGGTATATTGCAAATGGTAAGATAATGCCCATCCCTAGTGTGCATGTTGGTGTTTTCCATGCAAACTGAACTCACCCTCTGCTTTTGGAGATGTAGCCCAGAGACTGAGCCAGCCGATGAATGAACGCCCTCTCAGAGTTTGTCAAGGACGAAGGAAAATCCAGCTCTGTGGGACAAAACAACAAATATACAATAAAAGATTTTTAAAAATCATTACAGAGCTCAAATCAATTTATCTCATAATCCTGAATCAGAATAACTTCAAATCCCTCTTGAACAAAATCTCTTCTCTGATTGGTGTTTACTGGTGTGAGGGCGGGGTCAGCCTGTCACTCATATATAGACCTTTTCAATGTGGTGATATCACAGGTGCATGAACATTTCCTGCTTGTTATCAAAATATTTCATAACTGTAACAAGAGGCAAATCAGCTATCATAACATTATTTATCAGTATGTGGCTCTTTTTGGACTCTCGCAAGCTATAAAAATAAAAAAATGTAAAAAAGCAATACGTTGGGACCATTGTTTTTGTTTACATCCCTCAAAATGGTCTATCCGCTTGTTAAGTGTGACGTCACGCGAAGCGGCTTCCGGGTCCAAGCGCTCTATTCAACTGTATGGGGAGACTCATGAAATGGTAATAATAAACGTTTACCAAGCGATTTAATAGTTTAGAAAATCATGATCGCAGTATATATATGTCCATGCCTAATATCCAATGGCCAGAAAGTGATTCATTTTTTAATAAATTGTTAAAATTTTGGTATTACTTTTGCAGCAAGCCCAGAGATTGTTGTGTACACTATGACTTTATATAAAATTAACTTAATTAACTTTAATGTGTGATATGATTAAAAGGTGATCATAAACTAATAATTTCTCAACTCAAATGAGTGGCGGCTTGAACGCGGAAACAGTATTATATATGCCACCAACAGGTCACCACTTAACAAGCGGATAAGACCCATTAATGTCGAACCACCAGCAGCCATCATTTCCTTATGAACAAAAATCAAGCCCCGCCCACACTTGTTTTGATTTTTTTTTTGCTGCATTTTAAATAATTTAGCAACAAAGTTCAAATAAATTTAAGTTATTTAATTGTTCGTTATTTGTTATTAAATATAAACTTATTTTTAGGTCCATTTACATAATGTAAAAACAATTATGCTTTTAGAATGTTTTAAAGTTGTAAATGTTTAAACTTTAATGAATTCCAGTGGAATGATTTATTTTAATTGTAATATTCAATAACCCAATGATTATTAATAAACAAATAGGGATGCACCGATCCTGATACTTGGATCGGATATCAGTTTGATACCGCATATTTTTGCTGGATCGGGTATCGGTCTGCTAACACCGATAAAATCCGATCTTGCGCGTGCACTACAATCTGTGTAATTTATAAGGCAGGGCTCTAAATTGCGACCATTTTGGTCGAATATGCGGCCAAAATTTCATCTATGCGTCCTCAAAATATATTTGGGAGCATTTGTGCGAGTGCATGAAATTGTTGTGTGCGACCAGTTTTTACTGCAAAATGCTCACCACATGCGCGGATTCGGCATTTATTCAGAATGCTCTCTGCACTTGAAACGTGAAACGCAGCGGTCAGGAATGGTTTAAAACAGTTGTCATGTCAACTTGCTGCAGTAAACAAAGCCAAGTCCGGAATGCTTGCCCTGCTTCGCGCTCTTCTTATTGGCCCACCACTGCTCAAGCACTGAAATATCAGCTCTGCACAAGACTTTTGGCCAGCGGAGAAATTAAAATGGTCGTGCCGAACTGAGTCTGGTTCTCTCAAGGTTTTTTTTCTTCACTCCCATCAGGTGAAGTTTTTTTTCCCTCTCCGCTGTCGCCACTGGCTCGCATGGTTCAGGATTGGTAGAGCTACGCATCGATGAATTGGCTCTTCAGTGTTTGAACTCTCAGTAATGATTAAATCACACTGAACTGAGCTAAACTGAACTGAACTGAACTGAACCTAAACATTAAAAACTGAACTACACTGTTCCAGTTACTATGACCATTTATGTGAAGCTGCTTTGACACAATCTACATTGTAAAAGCGCTATACAAATAAAGCTGAACTGAATTGAATTGAACTGTCAATCACTCAGTAAATGCCTTCTGGCTTGGGATGACAGAGAGAGCTACTACCGCGAAAAACTGTAAACGCTGAAGATGAGAATGAAGATAACACTGACAGATTTTGTTTTAGAAACCATGGCATCTAAAGTTACAACTAATGACATGTGCTGAACGTTAATCCACCATCTACCCTTTCCAAGAGTGGATAAAAGACTTCCATTGGCTTCAAGTCCGCTATGAAAAGTCTGTGGGATGGAATGTTCAGGTAACTGTTTGCCACATCTCGCACGAGAGCTTCAGTTTAATTCTTCCTTTAATAGCCAGGTGCTGTCCGCCGTGCAAGTGGCAGCTATCGCTACTCATGAAAAGACCGGTACTGCTATTAACATGACGTATGCATATAATAAGGTACAGTACATGTCAAAAGCATCAGTGCAATATCAGACGGAGAACAGCACAGTTTTATCATTAACAGATTCATTCATGTCAAGCAGTGCGGGCCGGTGAGCGGTCTGTGTATGCTTTGGTCACTCAGTTATGTTATAAAAATTTATTTTCTTGAGATAACTGGATTTCGTTGAGACATATTTTCCTCACGCATGCATATATATATATATATATATATATATATATATATATATATATATATATATATATATAT